AGAGAGGACTGGGGAAAGTTGGCATGGATGGATCAGCCTCGTGATAGCAGACTTTAACCTTCAAACACTTAGGAGGTAAGTGTGGGATAATAGAGCTGAACTGAGCTGTGAGAAGATTTTGTCCAGATATTTGAGAACCATTAAGTTTTCTGGCCTGATTATGACCATCAGAGGTTTCTCTAGCTCCCCAGACACCTTCCTCTTTCCTAGTGACTCACCAAAAATCATACTGGGAAATTGACACCATGTTTCATAATCTTTCCTAAAATGCAATCTTGTTGAAAAAGTACCATCTTGCCACGAGCAACCAAACTTCCTGTTCCAGTGTCTGATTCCTTTTCATCTTGAACTCCATCCTGAATTCCTCGTACGAAAGTCCCACTGCTTCATTTGGAAATCCAAAGCATTTCAGGCTGAACGTGTTCAGATGGCACTTTAGATTTTATCAACAAAACTTTGCCTCCTGTAACACTTTCTATGAAAGTAAGCAAGAAACTCATAGTATCAACCTAAGAAGCATTAGAAAATTTTCATGGTTCTATTATTTAAATACATATGTTTAATTTTTAAATATAATTACATAATTTCCCCCCTTCCTTCCCCTCCCTTCTGCTCACGCCATGTACTCTTTCCTCATACCCTCTTAAATTCATGGTTTCTTTTTTATTATTACTATTACATATGTGTATAAATGCATAGATCTATAAATACAGATTGTGGAGTTTGCTGCTTGTAGGTATGTGGTTTTAGGAATGATTACATCGAATTGGATGATCAGTTTGGGGGCTCATCCCTGGGAGGGACAATTTTCCTCATGGAAGTTCTTAGTTGCCTGTAGTTCTAGGGGTGGGACCCAATGAGACTGTCCTGTCTGTGATAAAATGTCTATTGGTGCTGTCACTGTTCGGGTCCTGTTTAGACAGTCATGTTGCTGAGGTCTCATGGGTACAGCTTCCCTGTCAGTCCTAGGATACAACAGCTCACAGCAGGCTTCCTGGCCTTCTAGCTCTGACAAGTTTTCCACTTTGTTGCAGGATATTTTATCTCACTGTGAACCCTGAGACTGTCTTGTTTACTGGAAAAGCCTGTTTCTAGCTGTGGTGTGGCTTAGCCCTAGCACACACCTTTAATCCAAGAGCTTTCTGCATGAATACTGTAAACAGGATCAAATAAAGTCAACCATAGGTTAAGAGGTAGAGCAAGCAACCAGTTGACAGGAAAAAAACCATAGAGACTAAGAGGGAATCAGGAGGATGGACAGAGAGATGCACAGGAAATAGAGAAGGGAGGGGTGTTCAGTTTGAGGAATTTTGTTTGAGATGGAGTAGGAGAGAGCTTTCTGGGATGTCAGCTGAGAAGGAAGGTCAGCTGGAGGCTTTCTCTGCCTCTCTGAGCTAGCAAGTTTTCACCCCAGCATCTGGCTCCCAAGTCAGATTGGTAAAATTGAATGATTGGGATTTTGTTAAAAACAACCCCACTTCTGTGATGTTTCCTGAGCCTTAAGTGGAGGAGCTGTGTTGTAGATATTTTCACTGGGTCTGGACAATCCACAAGTTCTTTATTTTATTTTATGTTTTTTGATTCAAACAGCAGGAGGCTTTATTGTAGTTGTTTAACGAGCTAATCCCATTTTAGCTCGGGCCTTTCATCCATCCACTATGGCGGATGGCTAGAAAAGACGGCGAGAAGCCACTGCATAGAAATCTTATAGGGCAGCATAAGGGGAGTGTCTAGGGGTACACACGCTAGTCCCCAGAGATCGAGGTGGGGGAAGGAGGCAGGAAAAAAATGATATAGCGGACCTAACGTAGGGGGCTTAAACAGCCTGTAGGGCTGGGGTGATGAGGTGTCCTCCACAAGCTGGGTTGTGCCCATATATGGCATGCTTTTAGGCAGGGTCTTGAGCAGCTAGCAGCTTTGGGGGAGAAGCCGCCACAACTTTTAGCTGTTTTTCTGAGAAGGTGGGGTTTGGAGAGGAGAAATGGCCGGCTCAAGCAGGGGTGAGTTGGAGATTCTAGCGGAACATAAACTAGTGTAGCAACAACGAAAATCTGCATAGATGACCCTCAAAAATTAGAAGTAGCGCAACCACATGCTCAAGCTAACTACTCTACCACTCATTTTCATCCAAACAATATTTATTTTTGTTTAATTTCAAAGAAACGCATTTTAAAAATGTATGGCATGATGGGAGCCAGTGGTGTTTAGAACCCGAGCATCTGGGAAGCCGGAATCTGTGTTTGGGGCATTCAGACTGTTTCCCTTGTGCCAGTGTCCAGTGCCATATTCATCAGGAAATCTAACTTGTCTTTATAGCACCAGAACGCAGGGGTGTGTATGCTATCATCTTATGTGACTTGATTCTCTAAAATTGCTGGTAAATTTGTATCATATTTCTCTTCAAACACCTTATGAAGCTCATAATTTATTCTTTGTGTGTGTGCATAACATAAAATCAATAATTTCTTTAGAAATTTTCAGCTCCTTATGAAAAAAAATTCAATTTGAAAATAGAAATGAATTTGTATGGATCCCAGTCACCTTACAAGAGAGACAGTTCAAAAAGAATTCTAAGTAGGTTTGACATGCAACTCCTATAGGAAGGTGATTTCTCCCTTCCTTGAGCAAGTTCATTAGTCTGTTGCTTCTCTATCAGCTTTTTTTCTTGAGATTCAGGTTATTTTCATTTGTGTGTGTGGGTGTTTTGTTTGCACACACATCTTGTGCATTGTGCAGTGTCTTCAGTGGCCAGAAGAAGGCAGAAGAACCCCAGAAACTGGAGTTACAGATGGTTGTTAGCTACCATGTTGGCCCCAGGAATGGAAGCTGGGTCCTCTGGACAAACAGACTAATCTATCTTTCCAGTGCCCGTGTTTTAGTATCTTGTCATCCTTCTTGGAGTTATTCTAAAGCAAGATCAATAAATCAACAAAAAATAGAGATTAAGAAAAGATGATCATTTTCTAGTTAAATTAATTCTGCAAGGACTGTGTAGAGTTAGTGAGTTCTTCAAGATTTTAGGGGATGCATGAACATTACAAATGTCATCATATGTTTTTGGTAGAAGGACAATGAATCAGTAACTTTTATGCAAGGCATCACTTACTGGAGACCAATTTAGAACCACTGCAGTGGGGGTTGGGGACACCTGCTGATTTCAAGCTAGGAACATGGCTCTCTCTCAAATGAAGAAGTGATATCGATGCCTTTGTAGTGAAGAAAAGAACGCAGACCACTGGAGAAAACGCAAGCAACAGCTGTCGTGGAGAGGACTTGCGTAAGGTAGAGGCATGATTGTAAGGAGCTCAGGCTCTGATATCATTGCTGAATCAGAAAAGGCGCCCCACGGTAGCTTTCTTAGTACTGCTTTGTTTGTGTGGCATAGCCTTGCCTCTTCCCAGCAGGCCCTAGTGGGATCCTCCCATCTCCACCACCGCCTTCTTCCAGCACTGAGGCTCAGGTATTCACTGCCATGGCATTTTACATGTGATGCTGAGGGATCTGAACTCAAGTCCTTGGGAGCCATCTTTCCAGCCTTTCCACATTTCTTTTTAAATTTAACCCTGGGTTTCCTGGTAGGGGAACCAGTGGCCTGTTCTTGGTACCTGAGATGGCACCTGGGACAGCAGTGAGGCTTGCACATGTGCACTTTCTGTCAGAAATTTGGTCTTCATACATTACATTTCTGCTGTGAAATCATGCCTATGTGCCTTATAGTTATTAAGGCACATATATATTTAAGCTTACTGAAAAAATATATATAGCCCAATCATTCATACACACACACACACACACACACACACACACACACACACACACACACACATATATACACTCAATTAAAAAATGAGCATACACATATACACCATATATATTTAAGCTTACTGAAAAAATATATATAGCCCAATCATTCATACACACACACACACACACACACACACACACACACACACACACACACACACTCTTAGCACTCAGGAGATGGAGACAGGAGTATCATAATTTAAACCAGCTTGGGCTTCCTTCTGGGCATAGAGAGACCCTGTGCCAAAAAATCCAAACTCACTAGTCCTGACCAACTAAACAAAATCGAAGCAACAACTCCCCAGACATTAACATAAACCGCTAACACAAACTCAGTGACTACAAAAGTGGACACTACGTTTAAAGATGCTATAAAGTGCCCATGTCACGTGATTAGTTTTAATTCATGAATGAAAGAATCTTTAGCTTTTCCAAGAACATACGGACTTACTGTTCTATTTACTCAACAGAGATGCATCAGGCACATCCCACACCGGCCTGCTTGCTATCCCTGCAAATGGAAGAGACGCTTCTACCACAGGGCTCCCCCACTCTCCTCTCTCTGAGACCCCTGGCTCCACCTCTAAACACTAACAGAAGTGCTATGGCTTCAGCAAGTAAGTTTTGGAGGAACAAAAATATCCATTCTTTAACAAGCCTGTAGGTGGAGCCAGGAATCATCACAGTGCCCTTTAACATGAAACCTTTTTACCTCTGTTAAAACAAGCCTATTTCCCCTTACCAGGGAAGAGCTTGAGATCTAGCCAACAGCCTCATGGCGGCCCTCTTCCTCAGTCTTTCACGTCTTCACACGTACTGTGTGCATATCCTAGGCACATCTCGTCGAACTCACAGAATTCTCTGAGCCATATCTCACCTTGTCAAACATTTACTGCCTTTGAAAACATAACATATGACTAACAAAACACACATTGAGAAATCTTATATGACACACTTCTGGAAGTTTCTACTGATTTTTTTTGGAGTTGCTTTCTCAATTTCCGTTTTCTTTTTGCCCCATCTGCTGGAGTACCTTAGAGGAAACCCCGTTTTGAAGATTTCTTCTTCTCAGTTAGCTTTCTTACACTGGGCACTTACTGATCTTACCAGAATAGGTCAGCTGCATTGATGTCAAGTTTTAAATGTTTCTGAATGTGAAGAAGTAGAAGAGGGCCCTGAATCTCCTGACATACATAATGCAGCTAGAAGAACCTCAGTGGAAATGTGAGTCTCTCTCTTCCTCTTCCCCCCTCCTTTAAGACAGAGTTTACCGATGTAGTACAGGCTGACCTTGAATTGTCTGTGTAGCCCAGACTGGCTTCCAAATGGATCTTCTTGCTTCCAGTTTCTGGGGGCCGAGACGACAGGTGATATGCTATCAAGCCCAGCCCCTTTCACATTTAACTAGGTAGAAATATTTATGACTATGACTTTAAAATGTGAATTAATGCAGTGCAAAGGTGACAGGGATGAGAGCAAAATGAGGATAGCCTTGGCAAAGAGAAAGGACGTAGTTAAATCCTGATCAGCTGCCCAACAGATACTAAATCAGATAGAACCAAGAGAAGAGATGAAGAATATAGAAAAGAAATGGGATAACAAGAAAAGGATAATTAAACATTTTGGAAGATTACTTTGAAGAGAAGAAAGAACTATTGAAAACACAGGCATAGGCTCATGATATGCCAGAGGCTCTATCTGGTTTCCCGTTAAGTGGTGCTATTGGATTTGTGCAGCGAGACTGCTAAGTAACACTTTATTATATTAATTATATTCTATAACTGTGTTATATAGTTATATAATAAGCAAGCTATAGATGCATCTACTGGATATGACATGGCCATTGCAGCCACGAAGTCCCAGCAGCTATGGCTACTTGACAAGATCAGGCAGTATTCCAGCAGACAGTACTCAGTGGGCTCAGTGAATTACAAAAACAACAACAACAGCAACAAAAAAAGCAGAGAACGTGACTGGACAAGTGGGAACTTGCTGGGGATGAGAATGGGAGGGTGAGGTGGGGGACTTAAGGATGGGTGTGATCAAGATACATTGCTTAGATGTAGGAAATTATCAAAGAATGCTAAAAGATGCTCTAGTGACACAAAGAAATACATAGCAAATATGTTGAAATATGTTTAAAATTTAAATCTTGCTTAAAATCTCGTTAGTCTGCTATAGCTAATTTCAACAGGACCACAATGTATTGTAGTCCTAAAAGACACTGTCTTTGTTTGTTTTGTTTTGTTTTACTTTGCTTGGCTTTGCTTGCTTGTTTTTGGCTTTTGTTTTGTACTGGAGACTAGAAGCAGTGTTAACCACGTGCTAGGGAAGTAAGTGCTCTGCCCCTGAGCTATACCTCCAGCCCTTTCTTTACTCTTAATTTCTACAGAGAATTTTTTCTGTGTTTCGTAGGCTAGCCTTCAACTCCCTCTGTACCCCAGGCAGCCCTTGAATTTAGTCCCTCCTTCACCTTCTGAATAGTTGGGATTATATGCCTAATTGTACCAGACCTGGCAGAAAAAAAAATATACTACTAGGAATATGCTTTTATACAAATAAATGCAGTTATTTTTGTGGCATAGAGTTCTAGCCTGAAGTTGGAAGAGCAAATGTAATGCATTTTTTTTCTGTTTTTGTTCTTTTTCCCCCCTCCTTTTAAAAATTTAAATTAGAAACAAGCTTGTTTTAATGCATTTAAAAATGGATAAATGCTGGGTCATTGAGGTGGCTCGGTAGATGAAGGCACTTGCCATCAAACTAGAGGACACATGTGGTGGAGGGAGAGAACCGGCTCCCACAAGCTGCCTTCTCATTTCCACACACGCACACACACACACACACACACACACACGTGTGTGTGTGTGTGTGTGTGTGCGCGTGTGTGCGTGTGTGTGTGTGTGTGTGTGTGTGTGTGTGTGCGCGCGCGCGTGCTGCTCATTGGTGCTTTTCGGGGGCTTCTCTCAGGGGCTAGCCTCAGCAACACAGCTATCTCCTCTCCTGAGTGCTTCCTCTCAGCCAGGCGAACACTGTCTACTTTCAATATGCGTTTTGGATCAATGTGAAAAACCTTGCCACAATATTTTAGTCTGTAGTTCTCCAGTGGAGCATACTTTCCTTTGTCTAAAGACCACTTATAGTCTCAGCAGGTTAAATATACTGCTCATAATTTTGCTCAGTTTTTGAACTGATTTTTGAAATTCTTTATGTGTGCTTGATAGTGCTATTGCAAAAAGGGCTTTCGTGTGTGTGTGTGTGTGTGTGTGTGTGTGTGTGTGTGTGTGTATGTTTTCCATTATACTATATAGAAGCTTTAATTTTTTTTTGTTTGTTTTTTTTTTCTCAAGACAGGATTTCTCTGTGTAGCTTTGGAGCCCGTCCTGGCACTCACTCTGGAGACCAGACTGGCCTCAAACTCACAGAGATCCGCCTGCCTCTGCCTCCCGAGTGCTGGATTAAAGGCGTGTGCCACCACTGCCAGGCCGAAGCTTTAATTTTTATGGCTTTTGTTTTTATGTTCTGCTTTCTTTATAAAAACAAGCTTATATTTTTCTTTGTTATTTACTAGCAGGCTCTAAGATTGGTTTATTTACAGGAACTACTTAAGTCTCTCTCCTAAAATACCTTCTGCACTTTCATATTTAGTCTGCTGCTTGGTAATCTTGGCTTCCCTCATGCAGAGAGAAAACTAACCTATTTTTCTTTCTGTCTTAGCAAAAGGTGCCCGACCCCCCAGGTTGATCCCTTGGGTCTTTGCTGTTGTTTTCATCTTGCTTCTCAGTGCTTGCTTCATCACAAGCTGTTTGGGTAAGCTACTAGACAAATGAAGCTCAATATGCGTTTTGGATCATATTATCCCCAAGGAAGATAATTCAACGTGTGTGCCTGAAGCTCCACTTTTCCTCAGTATATCTGCATACAATGCATTCTCTGTCTCAGGGTTAACATTAGAGCTGTGTGCTTGATTTCCCTGCTCTGTTTACTTCCAAAAAAAAAAAAAAAAAAAAAAAAAGCACTTTGCTGAGGCACAATTGACATATAAAAGCTCTATTCATTAAATGTGTCCTCCTCAAGACTGGGGACAAGCCGGGCGTTGGTGGCGCCCGCCTTTAGTCCCAGCCCTGGGAGGCAGAGGCAGGCAGATCTCTGTGAGTTCGAGGCAAGCCTGATCTACAAGAGCTAGTTCTAGGACAGCCTCCAAAGACACAGAGAAACCCCCACAGCCCCCCAAAAAGACTGGGGACAAACATTCATCTATGAAGCCATCAGCACCACTGACCCCAGAGTAAGTCTTGTTCTGTCTGATATCAAGCTTTAAGATAAGGTTGTTATGACTGGATTAATATAGTGTCGGTCTAAGACAAATAGGCTGGAGGAAAGAATAGATAGTTGAGGTATGGATTCCGCATAAGTAATTCCTTATCTGAAATAAAGGGGGCTATTTCAGCATTATGGGGAAAGGAGAGTTTTGTTGAACTAATGTTTTAGACATCATTGACTACATTTAATCAATGAAATTGGGTTCTTGCATCATACCATGTATAAACAACAGTCCATTACAGTGAAAACAGGACTCTACAGGACAGAATGTTTGCACTGCATTTATGTGTGGAATGTATAGTGATCTGACAAAACGATTGGAAACATGTCAACAATATAATGAAAAAATGGACAAAGTCTTCAGTAGACATTATAGAGAAGAGAAAATGAAGACAACAGACACATACAATGTCAACCTCCTTGGTTGTTAGGGAAGTAAAACTGCAATTCACCATGAGTCAACACTGTGAAACACCAGGATGGTAATGACCAAAAAGTACAGCATCTGATGACGAAGATGTAGAAAACGGGGCCTGTGGTGCTTACCCACAGGAGAGAACACAAAGTAGAAAGCCTGTTTGGAAAGCTTTACCTTCGTACCCTATTGGCCACGCATGTAACTACCACCAGCAACAGAAATGCATACTCACTTGCTTTAGGCTGCAAGGTCAAAAATATGCTCAGAGTAACACACTTCACATCAGCCAAACTCTGGAAGCAATGAATACGCTAGAAACTGTGTGAAGTTAATAGATCACTTTCTAGTTATGAGAATAGATGAGCTATAACTATGGGCAGCAATATTGTTTCAGAAACAGTGCCGAGCATAAGTCAGCACCAAAGGGCGCATGCCAGCTGAGTGCATTCCTAGAGAATCCCAGAGAAGGCCATTCTGATCTGTAAGGTTCCAGGCTGGAACTGCAAAGCACAGCACAGGGTGAAGACGGTTAACTGCAAAGGACGAGTGGGCTATGTTTGGGTTATGATGGCTTACCTGGGGTGTTGACAATATTCACTTTGCCCAAAGTGTTCACATTACCGTAATTTACTAACCTGCACACTTAGTTTACTTCATTTTTTCTTTTTAATATTTGATTATATTTCAAATACAGTAAAAATATTACTAAACTCATGAAGTTCATAAAACTTTGTAGAACTAGCCCAATGTATACTAAAATCCTCACTCTTATTCACATTCTGATAGAATAAACTGAAAATGGCATGTGCCCAAAAGATTCCAAAGCGTCCAATGTAAATCACAAAATGATTATAAAATATTATCTTTCTGCAGTTGCTTCCAATGAATTCACCTGGGATGATGGAGTGGCATAGAAAAGAAAAAGGGTGTGGGGACCAACTGTGAGGGTAGGGGAAGGGTGGGGAGATGGGCTCACTTTTCTAAATCAGTGGCTACACGGGGAATAACTTTTTCCTGCCTGACAGTGACTCATCGTTACTTTTCACGCCGGGAGAGAAGACTAGGAATGATGAAGCTCTCAGACTACCACACAAGGCTAACGTGTACCCAAGGGGAGCCAGAGCCCGGAGCTACAGGTAGCAGAGGAAACTTCTTACTTGCTTCCCTTCAGCCTTTAAAGAGCATCCATAGTAAATCAGAAAGAAACAATGTAACAGAACATGAGGTTGTAGTAAGTCAGAAAGGAACAATGTAACAGAACATGAGGCTATAGTAAGTCAGAAAGGAACAATGTAACAGAACATGAGGCTGTAGTAAGTCAGAAAGGAACAATGTAACAGAACATGAGAACTGGCTACAAAGAAGAATATCAGTCAACTGGGACAGAATGACTTCTCATGACTGTATTCCAACAGTGCAACGCATTATTTTTGTGGTGCTGGGGTTCAAGCACAGGACCTTGTACATACAGGGTAATTGCTCCCCATTAATATTTAAATTTTCTGAGATGCCTATTTCTTTATCTATATTCTGGAATTTATAAAGCTATGGAGAACAAAAAAAATGCTTGAGTTTTGCATGTTCTTTACTTTTCTTCCAAATAAAATGTCCTGAAAAAGGCTTTGTTATAGGACCATTTTGCTTACTTTTGAATTAAAAATTCTCTCTCCCTCTCTTTCCCTCTTTCTCTCTCCCTTCCCACCCCCTTCTCAATTCCTTTCTTTCTTTGCTAAGTATCAAACTCAGGACTTTTCACATTCTAGAAAAGTACTTTACCATTGAGCCGCATTGCTAGCTCTGGAAATATTTGAAATATGAAAGCAAATACACGTAAGGACACGGAGCCATGTTAATGTCTTCCAAGGTGATAGTCAAAGTAAGATAATATGCATCTGTCACAGACAAAATGCTCCTTTGTAACTAGTGTCCATTTCAATTCTCACCCAAGGGGATACCTGGAACTGTTGTCCTGCTGGCTGGATAGCCTTCCAGTCTAACTGTTACTTTCCCCTTAATGACAACCAGACGTGGCATGAGAGCGAAGGGAACTGCTCAGGGATGGGCAGTCATCTGGCGACCATCAACACTGAAGCAGAGCAGGTATGTGTCAGCTCAGCTCGCACCGATGCTCTGATGCTCCCGCTCCATTCTGCTGCTGTGACAAACACAGCCCAAGGTAACTTCAAAGAGGAAAGGGTTAATTTCAGCTTACAGGCCTTCATGGGCGGAATTCAGGGCAGGAACTCATGCAGGAGCTTGAAACAGAAACCAAGGAGGAATACTGCATTCCGGCCCACTCAAGCCTCCCTGAGAGCTTGCTTCTGTCTTAAATACTTCCCTAATGTTTGAGATTAAAGGTGTGAGCTATAATTCTCTTTTAGACTGATTCACTCGTGTGTAGACCTGGGAGGCCTTGGATTAAATGTGTGTACCACCACCTCCTAGCTTCTGGCTGCTGGGATTAAAGGTGTGTGCCTGGCTGCTATAGCTTTTGGCTGACTTTGCTTCCTGAATCCTCAGGCAAGCTTTAATAAATCATAAACAATATATCGCCATATCCTCCTCTCTCCTATCCCTACCCATCCCCAGTCCACCTATAAAATCTATTCTGTTTCCCCTTCCTAGGGAGATCCATGAGTCCCCCGAAGTCCTCCTCTTTAAGTAACATCTCCAGGTCTATGTATTGTAGCTTGGGTATCATTTACTTAATGGCTCATATCCATTTATAAGTGAATACATAATCATATTTGTCTTTTTGGGTCTTGGTTACCTCACTCAGGAGAATTTTTTTCTAGTTCCTTCCGTTTACCTCCAAATTTCATGATGTCATTTTTTAACAGCTGAGTAATATTCCATTGTGTAAATGTACCACATTTTCTTTATCCATTCTTTGGTTGAGGGACATCTAGGTTGTTTCTAGTTTTTGGCTATTATGAACAAAGCTGCATGAACATGGTTGAGTAAGTGTCCTTATGGTAGGATTGAGCATCCTTTGACCATATTTCCAAGAGTGGTATAGTTGGGTCTTGAGGTAAATTGATCCCAAATTTTCTGAGGAAACACCATATTGATTTCCATAGTGGCTGTACAAGTTTGCATTCCCACTGGCAATGGAGGAGTGTTCCCCTTGCACCATATCCTTTTTAGCATGAGCTGTCACTTGTGTTTTTGATCTTAGCCATTTTGGCAGGTAGAAGATGGAATCTCAAAGTAGTTTTGATTTGTATTTCCCTGATGGCTAAGGATAGTGAAAATTTCTTTAAGTGTTTCTCAGCCATTTGAGATTCCTCTATTGAGAATTCTCTGTTCAGATCTGTAACCTATTTTTAAGAATTATTTGTCTTTTTGATATCTAGTTCCTTGAGTTCTTTATATATTTTTGGATGTTAGTCCTCTATCAAATGTGGAGTTGTTAAATGTTTTCCCGTTCGGTAGGCGATTTTGTTCAATAGATGGTATCTTTTGTCTTCGAGAAGCTTTTCAGTTTCGTGAGGTCCCCTTTATTAATTGTTGATCTTAGTGCCTGAACTATCAGTATTCTGTTCAGAAAGTTGTCTCCTATGCCAATGTATTCAAGGCTATTCCCCACTTTCTCTTCTATCAGGATCAGTGTATCTGGTTTTATGTTGAGTTTTTTGATCCACCTTGAGATGAGTTTTGTGAAGAGTGATAGATATGAATCTCTTAGCATTCTTCTCCAGGCAGACATTCAGTTAGACCATTTGTTTAAAAAGCTGTATTTTTTCCAGTATATATTTCTGGTTTCTTATTCAAAAATCAGGTGTCCATATGTGTTTGGATTTTTGTCTGTGTCTTTTCAATTCCATTGATTAATTTTATTTATTGTCAACCTGTATTTTTTTATGCCAATGCCATGCTATTTTTCTTATTATAGCTCTGTGGTACATCTTGAAGTAAGGGATGGTGATACCTCTAGCAGTTCTGTTAGCTATCCTTGGTTTTTTGTTTTTCCATGAGAAGTTGAGAATTCTTTTCAAGGTCTGTAAAGAATTGTGTTGGAATTTTTGTGGAGATTGCATTAAATCTGTAGATTGCTTTTGGCAAGATGGTTGTTTTTGCTGTTAATCCTACTGATCCATGAGCATGGGAGATCTTTCTATCTTCTGATATGTTCTTCAATTTCTTTCTTCAAAACTTGAGATTTTTTTGTCATACAAATCTTTCACTTGCTTGGTGAGAGTTACCCCAATATTTTATATTATTTGAAAGGTATTGTGGAAGTTGTTGTTTCCCTGCTTTCTTTCTCAGTCTGTTTGTCATTTGTATATAAGAAGGCCACTGATCTTTTTGAGTTAATCTTGCAGCCAGCCACTTTATTGAAAGTGTTTATCATCTGTAGGAGTTATATGATGAAAGTTTTAGAGTCACTTGTGCATATTATCATATCATCTGCAAATAATGATGTTTTAACTTCTTCCTTTCCAATTTGTACCCCCCTTATCTCCTTCAGTTATCTTATTGCTATAGCTAAAACTTCAAGTAATATACTGAATAACTACAGAGAGAATGGACAACTTTGTATTGATTTTAATAGAATTGCTTTGCATTTCTCTCCATTAAGTTGGCTATAGGCTTGCTGTAATTTGACTTTATCATGTTTAGGTACGTCCTTTGTATCCCTAATCTCTCTAGGACTTTTATCATGAAGGAGTGTTGGATTTTGCCAAATGTTTTTCCCACATCTGATGAGATGATTATGTGTTTTTTTATTCTTTCAGTTTGTTTATATGGTGGATTACACTTACTCATTTTCATATGTTGAATTATCTCTGCATTTCTGTAATGAAGCCTATTTGATTTGGTGGTTGTAATTTTGATGTGTTCTTGGATTTGGTTTGCAAGTATTTTATGGAGCATTTTTTGCATCTATGCTCATCAGGGGAATCATTCTATAATTCTCTTTCTTTGTTGAGTCTTTATATGGTTTGCATGTGGCCTTATAAAATGAATTTGGAAATGTTCCTTCTGTTTCTATTTTGTGGAATAATTTAAGGAGTATTGGTGTTAACTCTTCTTTGAAAGTCTGGTGGAATTCTGCTCTGAAACCATCTGGCCCTGGGCTTTTTTTTTCCCCTTGGGAGACTTTTAATAACTGCCTTTATTTCTTTAGGGGTTATAGGTCTATTTAAATTGTTTGTCTGATCTTGACTTAGCTTTGGTTAAGTGGTAGCCATCAAGAACATCATCTATTTCTTTTAGTTTTTCTAATTTGCTAGAGCACAGTGTTCTAAAGTATGTCCTTTTGATTCTCTAGATTTCCTTGGTATCTGCTTTCCTGCCCTGACCCTTTTCATTTTTGATCTTGTTAATTTGGATATTCTCTCTCTGTCTTTTATTTAGTTTGGATAAGGATTTCTGTCTTGTTGGTTTTCTGAAAGAAACAAGTCTTTGTTTCATTGATTCTTTGTATTGTTCTCTTTGTTTCTTTTGATGATTTCAGCCCTCAGTTTTATTAATTCTTGCCATCTACTCCTCTTAGCTGTGATTTTTTTTGTTATTGTTCTAGAGTTTTCAGGTATATTATTAAGTTGCTACTATGAAATCTCTCCAATTTTTTAGTGTAGGCACCTAGTGCTATGAACTTTCCTCTTAGCACCCCTTTTACTGTGTCCCATAAGCTTAGGTGGGTTGTGCATTCATTTTCATTGAATTCTAGGAAGTCTTTAATTTATTTTTTTAAAATTTCTGTCTTGACCCATTTTTTATTCAGTAGAGAGTTTTTCAGTTTCCATGAGTTTGTAAGCTTTCTCTTGTTTCTGTTGCAGTTGATATCCAGTTTTAATCCATAGTGGTCTGATAGGATGCAGGGAGTTATTTAAATCTTCTTATATCTGCTGAGACTTGCTTGGCATCTGGGTATGTGGTCAGTTTTGGAGAAAGTTCTGTGAGGTGCTGAGAAGAAGGCATATTCTTTTGTGTTTGGGTTAAATGTTCTGTTAGGTTCATTGTTTTACAATGTCTGGTAGCTCCTGTATTTCTCTGTTTCGTTTTTGTCTGGAAGACCTGTGCATTGTCGAGAATTGGGTATTGAAATATCCCACTATCAGTGTTTTAGGGTCAATATGTGTTTCTTTTACAAACATGGGTGCTCTTGTGTTTGGGGCATAGATGTTAAGAATTGAAATGTTATCTTGGTGGATTTTTTCCTTTGATGAGTATGTAGTGTCCTTCCCCACCTCTTTTGATTAGTTTTGGTTTGAAGTCTTTTTTTGTTAGATATTAAAATGCCTACACCAGCTTGCTTCTTAGATCCATTTGCCTGGAACATCTTTTTCCAATCCTTTACCCTGAGGTAATGCCAATCCTTGATGCTGAGGTGTGTTTCTTGTATGCATTAAAAGGATGTGTATGATAAATCTTTCTGCCAAATGCTGCCTGAGCTCCACCGCTACGTGTGAGCTTTATACCAGCCGCCTGCCCTAGTTAGGGCCCAAATGAATACACAGAAACTTGTATTAGGTTCAAAGCTGCTTGGCCAATGACTAGGACTTCTCATCTGCTAACTCAGTCTTAACTATCATAAACCTATGTATTTTATAAGACTTATCTTATCGGACACCTTACTGGCATCCCTCCTTGCTGGGATCACATCTTGCTGCTGGAGCAGGAACAGGAAAAAAGAGCAACACTTCCTTTTTCCTCTTCTTAAATATGAGTCTCCTTGCTATGTCACTTCCTGCCTGGAATACCACTTCTCTACTACATTTCCCAGAATCCTCTTTGACTCCTAGTCCAGCCTAACTTGCTGTCTCATTGGCCAAGCAAATACTTTATTTAACAATCAACAAGATAAACATACACAGAAGTATTTCCCCCATCAAGGAAGGATCCTGTTTTTCTCTTCCATTCTGTTAGTCTGTAGTTTTTTATTGGGGGAAGAGAGTCCATTGATATTGAGAAATATTAATGATTAATAATTATTGATTCCTGTTATTTTGTTGTTGGTGATGGTGTATGTGTGTGTGTGTGTGTTTCTCTTCTTTTGATTTTGCTGTTGTGAGTTTTTTTTTTTATTTCTTGTGTTTCATTGGGTATAGTTAACCTCCTTAGGGTGTAGTTTTCCTTCTAGCACTTTCTGTAGGGCTAAATTTGTAGGCAGATATTGTTTACATGTGACTTTATCATGGAATATCCTGTTTTCTCCATTTATGGTGATTGAAAGTTCTCCTGGGTATAGTAGTCTGGGCTGGCATCTGAGGTCTCTTAGACTCTGCAGCACATTTGTCCCAGCCTTCTGGCTTCTAGAGTCTCCACTGAGAAGTCAGGTGTAATTCTAATAGGTCTGCCCTTATATGTTACTTGGTCTTTCTTCCTTGCAGCTTTTAATTATTATTTTGTTGTTGTTCTATATGTCTAGTGTTTTTGTTATTATGTGGCGAGGGGAATTTCTTTTCTGGTTCAATATATTTGGTGTTCTATATGCTTCTTGTACCTGTATAGGCATCTTCTTCATTAGGTTAGGAAATTTTTCTTCTATTTCTGGGCCTTCCTTCCTCAGGTTAGGAAAATTTTCTTGTGTGATCTTGTTGAAGACATTTTCTGGACCTTGGAGTTGGATTTCTTCTTCTTCTATACCTATTATGCTTAGGTTTGGTTTTTTCAACGTGCCCTAGATTTCCTAGGCAGTTTGTGTCAGGAGTTTTTGGATTTAACATTTTCTTTGACTGATGAATCTATTTCTTCTATCTTCAGCACCCGAGATTCTCTCTTTCATCTCTTGTATTCTGTCTGTAAAGCTTGCCACTGTAATTCCTGTTCAGATTTCTATTTTGTTTATTTCCAGAATTCTCTCATTTTGTGTTTACTTTATTACTTCAATTTCCATTTTCAGGTCTTAAACAATTTTATTCATTTCCTTCAACTTTTTGTGTTTGCTTGAATTTATTTAATAGACTTATTAATTTCCTTCAATTTTTTGTTTGTGTTTCTCTGAATTTCTTTAAGGGCAGGTTAGCTGGGCTCTAGTGGAGACATAATGCCCTGGCTGTTATTGATTGTATTTTTATGTTGGTGTCTAGGCATCTGAGTTTGGGGTAATTATATGTCTATGTACTGGTTTCTGGATTTGTCTTTGTTGGGTGGGTATTTTGTTCCTTAGTTTCTGTTTCTTCTCTGAATTTTCAGAGAATTTCACAGCTGTGTGTTGCCTGTTTCCGTGGCCTGCTCAGCTGGTGTATTCACAGGGAATGCCTGCTGGTGTTGGAGGCTGAGATAATTCGATGAGTTGGAGGAAGGAAGACTGGAGATCTTTGTGATCCACTGGGGATGGGGTCAGAGAGGAAAGGGAGAGCACAGAAGGTTTTCTGCCACAGAGCTGGGGATGAGAAGGGGGGGTCAGATCTCAGGAGCAGTAGGAGAGGCTGCCCTGGGAGGAGCTGCCCTTGGGGTGCCTGGTGTTGTTGGGGTCTGGGACAAGGTAAAAAGTGGAGAGAGGAAGACTAGAAGAGGAAGATCTGTGGGCTCCACAGGAGATGGGAGCAGGAGCACAGGGAAGGCTGCAGTAGGTGTCCTACTGCAGAGCTGGGATGACACTGAGGGATTGGGTCTGGGAGAACCAAGTTTTTGTTTTGTTTTGTTTTGTTTTGTTTTAAATCTCTAAAACATTCAATCCTATTTAGCATATGCTAAGGGGGTTGTCAGCACAGTCTCGCTTAATCCTCATGGTGAGTCCACGAAGCAGCAGTCTTGCCAGAAGGCTCAGGGTTTGGCGAGCAGGCTCCCTGTACTACTTTAAGCAGGTTTGAAACAGACTTCTCTGATACCATGATGTTTACACCTAACCCGTGATCTCCCCGACTTCTTCCCTCCTTATCATCCCAAGAGCACTTACAGAAAATGTCTATTTTGTATTGCAGAACTTTGTGACTCAGCTTTTGGACAGACAATTTTCCTATTTCCTGGGACTTATCGATCAGAACATTGACGGTCTGTGGCAGTGGATAGATCAGACACCATTTAACCCACACATGGTGTGAGTATTTTGGTTGGGGCTAATGGCATTTACAGACAAAGGTGAAAAGAGGTGGCAAGGAGAACTCTTTTTAAAGTGGGATACAGCTATGTAAGTGCTTACTCAACAGAATACCAGCAGTTGAGCAATCTCTATATGCTATGTTCCCACTGCACAATAATCCTATTACATCAGCAAAATGTTCAGTATTTTCGATCATACAGTGTTGATGAAAGAACAGATAACATGAAAGTAATGTGAAAAACTGCGTAGGATTATCATTTTGGTAAACAATATTATAGGAACTGTAACTATTTTTGAAAGAGTTCTAACCTGGTTATTTTCCTCCTTGAAACCAGCATTGTATAATATAAATATAATAGAAAACCACAAGCATATCTTAAGTTTTTCTAGTAGTAATGATGACACACACAAATAATCCTTGAATTCATGAGATGAAATCAGCATGGTTGGTAAGTTAGAGGCAACCCTAGACTACATGGGGAGTTCTAGAGAGCCTGTAGCTCTATAACAAGACCATGTTTCAAATAGGAAAACTATACAAATACACACACACACACATACACACACATACACACACACACATACACACA